GGAATCATTTTTCCAGGTAAGTTTCTTGGAAAAAGAAACGCAAAATAAAAAAGGAACACGCTCACCTCGCCTCTCAAATTGAACTTGTTTATTTACACCACATAATGTTAAATATTTGTGTTGGTTTGTGTTGGTCTGGGTGCTTTCTATGTACCAAATGTTACGTTATTAGTATTAGCGTTTATTTAAACCGTTGCGCTCTCGGATTCAATACGAGAATCAACACTTTTGCTTTGCTTAGGAAAGATAGATCCAAGGATGCTTAATACTATTTCACAGTTTTGTGGATGACAGGATTTTGGGTTTCTGTTTCATATGTCTCACTCTACCCAACAATGGCCTCAGTCGCGTCGCGACGGTAAGTGACGGTCATTAAAATAAATAATTTCACTCGTGCATCAATATAGTGAACACTGCACTGGTTTAAATATTTTTTTGAATTTTTAAATAGCATTTTAGTAGGTACCGTCCTTATAGAGCAACTCTGATTCAATACTGAACTTAAGCAACAAAAAGTTTGACCGTTTTTAAATCTATAAGGCTCTATTCACACCGTCTTTTCAAGAAATACGTTTTCACAGCCGCACAATTCTAAAACAATATTTCGATTTAAATAAAATACTCGCATAACATAGTGACCGTTAGCATGTCATTTACGTACATGCATATTGTTGGCGCAATAATCGCCGGGATATGTTTGTATTTATATTAACTTCGCGCCTTGCCACGGGCGTCCTGTAACTTTTTACCGTAACGTTAAAAACACGCTTATCATCGTGATAAAATCTACATGTCAGTTATTTTCATAATTATGCTAATATTATTTTAATTTTTAAACACTTATCCAGCCTCGGGAAGTAGGTTTAGCGTATATACGAAATCTCAGTGTTATCTTCACGCTGGCACCAACATAGAAATATCGCTAACAATTAAAATGAACAGAATAGTGGAATTTTCGTTGGCGGAGCTGCACCCAAGTGGTTTGCATACTAATTTGCCGGTAACCATTTGTAACTGCGTAGTTTGTTTTATGCAAAACCGTTTAACTGATGCAGCAACGATATTCTTATTTTGCTCACTATTTACATAATAAGTGCATAATCTTGAACAATATAGTGAATCATTGTTTATTAAGTTATGTAAACAGTACGGTATTTATGGCAGTTACTGGGCAATTTAATTTTAACAAATTTTTAAAGAAGTATGCATAATGTTAAGGAAAAGATGTTTCATAAAATTTTTGCTTCCTAATCAGATCAAAATGTTGCATGTCTCTCATGTAATTTTGTATTGCGACAGTCAGACTTACTTACTCATGAGACTTAACTTTGCTATTTTCTTTTATGATTGAAGAATTTATTTTGAATTTATACATTATAAATAATAAATAAATAAATAAATCTTTGGACAATTTCACACAGCGCCAGCTAGCCCCAAAGTAAGCAACTTAATGCTTGTGTTATGGGTGCTAGCTTAACGGATATTATTACTTATATACTTTTTTTTAATACATACATAGGTATTATACATAGTAACACCCAGACCCGTCACAGAAATTAAAATTCATCACTTCAATTTCTGCCCGCCCGGGAATCGAACCCGGGACCTCTCGGCATAGTAGTCCGTTCTGAACCACTACACCAAACGGCCGACGTTACATTAATAGGTATGTTTACCGATCGCTAGACACGTGCGCTCAAAAACAGAAATTTTTGCACCACGATATCGTGTAGTTCCGTCATATTAAATCAGACATATTATGTACCAAAGGAAGACGTTGAAATCGAAAGGTTGACCCACACATAGATACGCCCTTTGAAAATCCCCTCGAAATGTGTGTGTGTGCAGCAAACGTATTGAGGTCGCTTCAAGCCTCCTCGTCGACGCTGTAGGTTTCCCTACTCCTTTATAACATTAATTGCGACTCGCTCTTACTACACTCAAATTTAGGTCCAAATCTGCTTGTGCAGCAATTAGTCTAGTCATAAACGTCTAAAAGGTGAGAGACATAAATCCACGCATTTCAGCTGCGTTATTCGTGGCTGAAAATTTCCGCTCTAAGTTTCTTTATTGAATGAATCACTATTTAGTGGTCTCCCAGCTACTGGGTTATATGGCTGTTCAAATCCACGTGTACACTATTTCAAAAATATTTATAAATTCTGAATATAGTGTGTGCAGGCCTTTACATAGCGGAATTTACGATTCAAGATTAGCAAAAATGCATTTTTGAACGGCTAAATCTTTTAAAAGAGTAAATTCATTTTCAGTGCACGAACCGGCACGAACGGACTCGCAGTGGAATTGAATCGATTCCATTTTTAAACTTTCGATCGGCGTCTCGGACTGGCCACTTACCATCTTGGCCGGCGAAAAGTGCACAGAAAAAGAAAAGTCCAGCGTCAACAATCCTCCACAGGAGCGTACACCCAAAAGTCGACAACGCGCAAAAGGAAAAAGTCCTTATCTCAGCAAGATGGCGACTCGTAGCGCGGGCTTTTTGCCGAAAAAAAATCCCGATCAATATTCGGCGGGGCGGGAAGGGGGGTCGTCGAAACCTTTGCGTAATTGGTGGAGGGGATCGCGGCGCGCGCTACTTTCGGGGCAGGTCGTTGCCTGAACTGGTAACACTATGCCTACCGCTTATAGGCTGGGGAGCAAAGATGCGGTTTCTTGGTAGCCGCTTTGTTCGATTTTCAAATCGAGACAATGAAATGTAAGTTTTATTTAAATTTCGCTCGTGACTTTATATGTCGCACATCATTGGCATACGTGAGAACGTTCCTCGATGGTAAGTAGTTTATTTTCTCTCAATTTTTATGTAAGCTTCATGAATACTAGCCGTAGCCTGCATGTATTTTAGTTCGTTATAATAAGATTATCTTACATCCCTCTGGAACGCACATTCCTGGGACAAAATAATGTGTGCAGCTTTATAATTGTTAAAAACGGTTCGCAAACGGGTCTTTCCCGGGCAGTAATTAATTTCTAACATGTGTTATCCCCTTTCTCCAAAAAACTAACGCAAACATATCCCGGCAGAGTTCTTTCATCTCTATTTAACAAATTGAGCAAACCGGCGTCTTTGTTATTTAGAGCGCGCGTATTGCTTCTAATTTGTTTGAGGCCCTCTAATGTGGAGCCCGCCGCTTCAAAGTAACCAGTAATTACCGGTTTCTACCGGTAAGTAAGCGCATTGTTTCAATGTTTGAAAAAGTTGGTGTAAAATGCATATTTGCTATCTTCGTATGCACTTTGCCGGGTATTGATACAATACAAGTTCTTATTCTAACTTTGAAGTCTATTTGTATTACAACCAGTTTCAATAATAGGTAACATGATTGAATCTACATACTTCAATGAAAATACATATGAATAATAGATAACATTCGTGGCACACAATATCTTTTACACTGTAATCAACGATACGATTCCAAAAATTCTGCAACATTTCTCTTAATCTCGAAAACCTATCGAACACGCGTTACTATCGGGATACCTACGTGTGTATCCCGATAGTAACGCGTGGGCGGAGGCGGCATCGGCCTCTGCGTCGAAATAACTAACCTTCAACTCTGTTACTACAGGTGTAGCCGTGGGAGGTTACCTCGTTACCTAAATAGGGCAAGCGCGCCGTATAGTAAATAACTATAATTTCATCTACACTACACCTGTTTATCGAATTATTTAATGATACAATTTTCTCGCTCGATCAATTTTTGAACATGACTGTGCAAAAACTAGGCCACGCTTTTTATCTGAAAAAATCTCCAGTCGCTTTTTATTACGTCGCCTACCACCGCAATTTAAAATAGTATAATAACGCATCAATTTTGCTAAAAAATACTGTTTCATTATTATTTTATTGTAGTTTTTGAATCGTTCTCGTTTATTATAACTTTAAAAGATTAAATTTTTAACTGCTTCATATATTTTTATGGCTGTAAAATATCAATGAAATGTTTATGTTCACAAAAGGCCATATCTTTGGTAAGTCACGTCATACGCCCAAAACAGAACTGCTATAAACCGATGAATTAAAATTCGAGTGATTCATGATCAAGAGAATAATTCCATGTAAAAATGCGACGACTACAAATATTTTGAGTGCACTTAAAATTACAGGTACAATAAAATGATGCAACTGAGTGCGCTGCAACAGTGTTGTGAGTTTTTATTAAGCTTTTTGCCGTCCCGCCGACCTTTGTGATGCCATAGAGATGCGGTTTTCACTAATAATATAATTTAATATTGCAGTTTTTCCAAAATCTTTCTAAAAGTACATTTACGGTAGAGAATGTGGCTCGAGTGTAATTAAATAATATTGACTGCTGATGCTAACGTTTTAACGACTCTACCTACAGCGGATTCCATAAAAAACACCATAATAAATCTAGCAACAGATTTTAAAAATCCTCGCCAATACCGTCCATATTTTATTTTATTTAAAATACTGAATCTTCATCGTGTATTGGATTATTGTAGAAAGCCACTTACCGAAGCTGATTCCTCTTACCCACAGCTGTCTTGTTCGTCCCATCCTTGTCGTCGTCTGCATTTCTGTGGCGGGTCGCCGGAGTTCAAAACAAGATCGCAAAGCAAAACGGTGATAACACGATAGAGCGCAGCGATAATACAAATACATTGGATTCGCATTTGCCTCGCCTACCAGTTTCGGCGAAACTTATCTAACGAGGTAGCGCCATTTATTCAACTTCTGACACGTGCTGGGTGAGAAATCAATATTAAAGAGCATTCTAAGGGAAAACGAGAATATAGCGTCTAAAAACCTATGCACACGTCAGTTGAAGACACGGCAACTGCCAATATGGGAGAACTTACTACATTTACCAATAACATGGATTTTGGACATCAATCATGAATTTAATTAATGTGTTCAAAAACAAAATACAGTCTCGAAGATAGATAACTGTCAAAAACTCCACGGACATTGGTAAAAATAGACAGCTCTTCCCAAGAAGTTCGAGCATTCATATTACCTGCAGAACGCGCTTCGGCAGTCCAGTCTTCTGGCTCAGCTGCTTCAGATCCTTCGCGTCAGGGTTGTGGTTGATGGCGAAGTAGGACTTCATGGTGCGCAGCTGGTGGTGCTTGAAGCTAGTCCGCATCCTCTTCGTCCGTGATGTGGTGCCCATCCCTCCAGCACCGCGGAACCCCATCTCCATATACTCCGAGTTCAGATCTGCGCACAAGAGAATAACAGTCATGCTGCTAAACGCTAGACAAGTTAGACAAGCATCGATTTGTCAACGTGACAGCTGTCACAGACGCAACGCCATCTTGACAGCGCCATTTGTCATGTCGAACGATGAAAGGGATATTTTTGTTTTGCCAAATATAACTTTTGAAAAAAAATCGGACTTAAAATAAAGTTAGCGTCAATCAATTTTGATTTGGGCCGGTGGTTTGACATGCACAGATGAAATAATGTAGAACACAGCGCTTAATTCTAAAAATAACACAACGATTTAAAATAAACCAATACGAATTGAAACAAAATCGCATAGCGAATTCGCTTTGGTAGAAATGTGATACGAACGTGCTACGTTTCCGAGACTTAGGTATTTACTCGTAGTTACATCAAGATTAGGTAAAACCATTTAAGTTGATTGCTTACGAGTTTTAAAAACTACATCAAATCAGAAGAATTGTTGAGTTCAATAAAATACTTAAGAAATGACGAAGGCTAAGTCACAAACACATTTTTATCTTTGTTAGAAAGAAAGGGCATAAGTACGTTTCGGCTTGTTACGAACTAACACTCGTCAGCTGCAGAAAAACTTTTATAAAGATAGTATTTTCACAAAGGTTCTAAACGGGTACGATGCCAAATTGTCCATGATACATAATAATATCCTGTTTTAAATTCATGTTCAGCTTCAAACTTAGTTAATAAAGCAATTTTATTGGTCTAGGCATTAAGGCTAGAGTGCACCATCTTACTTTAACTTTAAGAAAAGACAAAAATCTGTCAAACTTCATACAAAAGACAACGGTTTCCGTCATAGTTACGGTTAAAGTTAGGGGTGCAACTCAGGTGCCCTAAAACTATGACTGAGCCAAGTTAGCGTAGAGTTCTCATTCAAAAACGACCGGTGCAGATCGAACTCACAAAATAGTCGGGTCCGTGGCCGAGTCCCCCAGTATTTGACGCACCCGCGGTGGACGCCCCCGATTTAAATAAATTTAATATCATATTTTTTTCGGCTTTTGCACTAAGTACAGTCAACGAAAAACAATTTCACAAGCTAATTATTATACTAACCTATGCATGTTTGACGCTATTTATGCAATCTGGGAGCAAAATTTTAACCCAAAACCAGCAGTAGTAAGAAACAAAAAACTTTTGTAGGAATTATTTTCATTTCATTAGATTCATTTTTGTGTTTAATTCTACTGGCCTAATAAATATTTATTCGTTTATAAACATTTTTGTGCCTGACTGTACATTTGATTAAAAATTGCTTCAATTCGAATTTAACTGACCGGGGGCGTCGACCACGGGTGCGTCGAAACTGGGGGACTCGGCCACGGACCCGAATAGTCGCGCGCGCAATATTCAATAATATTTATGGATTTTTTATCAGTCGCGAATTAATTAGCACATACTAACCGATACGAGCGAAGATAATGCCAATATTTACATATATGTATGTAATTACTTTAATTGTTATTGTGCCTCTTTACGAGTTTGAATTACAATAAAGATAACTCAAAGGTACAGATAAAGATACTCGTACGTAAAGTTACCGAAAATAGCAATTTGTTTTGTTTGTTTGCAATTTGATCTTAGGGATGTGAATTGCCATAAAACTTTATTTTTCCTCGTTTGAGTAGATATACTAAGGCTGAGTTGCACCACCTAACTTTGACCGTAACTATGACGATAACCGGTGCTTTTTGTATGGATTTTGACAGATTTTTGACGTTTGTCAAAGTTAAGGTACTTAAGATGGTGCAACCCACCCTAAGTAATAGTGAAATAGGTACAAATTTAAACAATTTCTCTATCTGTCGATTACTTTATCAAGTCTTATGCTGAATCGCACCATCTTTACTTGAACTATAACATACGTCAAAAATCTGTCAAACTCCATACAAAAAGCACCATTTATCGTTGTAGTTACGGTTAAAATTAGGTGGTGCAACTCAACCTGTCTTTCTTTTTCGTAGTTGGACATATCATTGATCCTACTTAGTTAATTAATTATCAATACTTTTTTTTTGTAGGTTGTATGACGAGTGCGTAGCCTGTTGGTTCTCGAACCTAACCACCACACCAGGTGCATTTGCAGGTTCGCATCCCGCTGCGGGCAAATGGTAATTTGACAAGCATTATTACCTACTCGAATTTATGGACAAAAAGTAGTTATGCTATATTTATAAGTAGGTGTTTTATGTTTATTTTAGATTTGTTTAGTTTCTTTATTAGGTAGGTACTTGCTCATCCTGTAGAATCAAAGCCTAGCAAATTTTATATAAAGACTATCAGTTTTTATCATACAATTAATTGTATAATTGTCACGTAATAAAGAAAATATAGTAAGATTACGCAAACTAAAATATTCACCTAAATTTATATCGACTTTATTTGTTATCGGAAATCCAATAAAACGAACGACTGAAATTTGATTTACTGTATGATTGATAAATTGATTCGCCAATTTTAAAAAACGAAATAATAATTTATAACGTACCTAAACAAAAACAACGTTCATTAATTTGTTTGCTAAAATGCTTAAATGGGTCGATTAAAATATCGTTTATTTCATTTCACTCCACAATAGTTAATTAGAACATAAAATAATGTTGATTCCCGGTCATTTCACAATGAACGTTGGTTCGTAATAAAAACTTATTTAGTTTAAAATTAAATTAGTTGGTTATTTTCACACAATAGTGTATTTTGAATGGTCGTATAACGACACCCGTTCAAAGAGTCGTAAAGAACAAAGGTAAGTCGTGTGCGTGATATGCATTTTACAATTGCATTCATGACCCATAAGAATCAGCGTACAGGCCGCACTACACGCTACACTTTACTAATATTAGATGCTTACATTTAAGAGTACCTTTCGATCTATAGCAAAATACCTAGTTAAATCAGTATCTTTAATCAGATGAAATGGAGAAAAAAAATCACCGATATAAATCGCGTACTCGAACATTTTGACAACCAAAATCCCTTTCTGTGAATCCTAAAGCGGGTTTTCCGCTGCGAGCGGCGCAATTCCATTGATGACTCCGTTTACCTCGCAATACAAAAATGCATCATCTATTTCCACCAACAAAGAGTTGAACGAAAATGCCAAAGAGGGCAAAAAGAGTAAAAATGAGCTCGCTCGTCAAATGAATACTTCCGAACTCTTTTTCTGTGGAACAGCAATCCTATTTATACACAAAGACCTCCCCTCTAGACATCCCTAGTTCATTCCTCTTTGGCGGTGGAAAACGGGCTTAAAAGTTAGCTATCGATATTTTAGCACATTTTTCGTGGCGTTTTCGCCAACAAAACTTTGCGTACCGTCGGCTTCATTGTTCTACGATGCAGCCGTGACGTATCCGAGCCGGTGACGGCACGACGCCGGTTAACGACCAATAAAAGTGTTGCCAGTAAATACGCCCAAACTACGGAACAGTGAAATGCTTTGAGACTGCATGCTGTAATATTATTTTGTTAATGTTAATGTTTACTTTAGTTATGTGCAAGTAAAATAAAAAATCCACACTGTCACAGTGGATATAAACTGCTGTACTTTAATCTGCATTTAGATAAATTAACATCATGAGGTCACTCAGTCACAAAATACCTGCCTAAAGACGAAAAACTAAAAAGGAATCTTGTGTTTATCATTCAACCAAGAGTTACCGAAAAAAAAATTCAAAATTTTCTCTGCATGAGAATCCTAATTATTACGAAATTTAATTACGACGACCGTTAATAATTCAAAGCAATTCTAATTTCAAGTTTACTTTAAAACGGTAATTTCAAGACAAAGTTCTTAAGAACCAAAGTGTTTTTAAACTGAAAAAATAGAAACGGAAGTCATAAAGCTTGAAAAGGATTCCACGCGACGAGGCAACGATACGATGCCTCCTAGGAAGCCACAATTAAAATGGCATTCCAAGAGATTTTTGTAATACTTCTAGAAGTTATTTACGTTTTTAATTCGTTCCAACTGGTCTACACATCACACTGGTGGACTTAGCACATTCATTTCAGTATTTTATTACGAGTCAGAACGCAAAGTTACGATCATATTTTTTTATTTGTTACGCAATGTGTTGAGAACTGCTCGAACATTCTTCGAGGATAATGTACGAAGTTATGTACTAAATAACTATGTAACAGGTATATGCGGAAGTAACTAACAATGAATGTATAGTTGTTACATTTTCACTTCAGAACCAATTTTGATGATTTTGGATAAAAATGAAAACTGAACTTTGGAGAACCCTACAAAAGATACGAGTAATCTTACATTCGTAGGTATATTTGATCGACAAAGACTTTGAAGACAAATTAAACATAGTATATCTTTAAAATAGCCCTTTTGCCTCCTAACATAAAAGCGATCAGATTTTTTTAACCGGCGCTTTTGATCAGTTATACCTAATTCAGATGTCACTGTCACAAGACCTAATCAACAAAGACAATAAGCGAAAACAAAACACCGTCTCTTTGTACGTCACAAGAATCCCTCTTGACAAATTTCCGAAAAACAAACGCCGGCGACATTCCCAGTTCCCCAAGAACAATTAGCCGACGGTAATTATGCAAGGATCCGTGGAGCATGCGCGGGTAATGGCGCGCGGCGCAAGCGCAGACTAAACAATTTCAGGGCACATAGCTTGCGGACGTGTGACCTATTCTTGAACGTTTCAAGGATTTGTTTGCTTGAAAAATTGAGACTCAAAAGCTGCCAATATTGCAATAAATGCTATATAGCAAAAAACGTGACATGATATTTTTTTATTTATAATCGGTAGCAGACACATTTAGCGATATCATAATTCATAATGATAAAATGAATGCATTCTTACTTATACAGTGAATCTGACAAGTTTATAAGCTGATAGATAATTAATATCGCTAAAGTTACCGTCATGTCGACTCGAGATAATTGATTTTCCAAAAATGACGAACAATAGACTAAAACATTACAGTTGAAACATGAACAT